TTCCTTCCTTCCTTCCTTCCTTCCTTCCTTCCTTCCTTCCTTCCTTCCTTCTTCCCTTTTACTGTATTTCATGACGCCTTGACTAGTGGGACATGGGGAAGATGTAACAGTCATTTGGTTAACTAAATGACAAAACAAATGGACTTCTATTAAATAACTTTCAATGATTTATACACAGGCTTAGTTAGCAGGGCAGTCTATCCAAAGGCAGTTAATGCATGTCCGTGGTGCCGCAGTGGTTAGAATGCAGCATTGCAGGCTAACTCTGCATTCCACTGCCACCCGTTCGATCCTTACCAGCTCAAGGTTGACTCAGCCTTCTGTCCTTCTGAAGTAGGTAAAATAAGGACCCTGATGGTTGAGGGCTGACTCTGGAAACTGCCTGGAGAGGGCTGTGAAGCTTTCTGAAGCGATATAGAAATCTAAGTGCTATTACTATTGCCCATCCTGTCAACGTCAGAAATGGTAGAGGGTTTCCTGCTTGAGCAGGGGGTTGGACTAGATGACCTACAAGGTCCCTTCCAACTCTGTTAATCTGTATCTGTAATGTATTCCTATCCATGTCTCTTATCCTGCATTGATGAGCAGTTCTCCCACAACACACACATCTACTCCACCACCACCACACACACATCAAATTTAGCAGCATCATTCACAATTGGATAATTAATTTTGAATTTTTTTTACAATTTAGTGACATTTCATATTATTCAATATATTTGCAGGATATGGTTATATAATGATATGGATCCGTAGAAATTCAACACTTAAATTATATATTGCACTATTTCTTTCTCAACAGGACATCCATAACCCGATTGTTTCCTGGACTGTTTCCTATCCAGCAATGATTCCTTATAAAATCCATGCCCATGTTTGTTACTGGACACAGCCTGTAACGTCAATTGAGCAGATTCTTGCCCCCAGAGCTATGGTTTAAATCATTCTACAGTCCTTTAACTTAACAGGCAAACATTCCATCTGAACAGAAAATAGCTCCTTTCTCTTGGGTAGAATAGGCATATCAAAATAAACAGCAGGATTATCTGGCATTATGAAATGGGATTATCGAAGACTTATGTTCAGTACCAAGTATACGGAGGATAAAATCCATGCTCAAAGTATCTCTGTGATTCATTTCTATAATTGCTTTGTTCATTGAAATATCCTGGCACTGCTGCAGAACCCCGCGGCTTAGATGAATTAATATTAATTTTATCTCCTCCCTACTTTTCTGTTCATGAAACAATCTGGGTATTGTTTCCATTTCGAAACCTTGTTGTGTCCTAATATAATCAAGGCACAATGCCACCACGTTCTTCATACCACCCCAAATTGGGCATGATACTTCATGAGAATAACATCTCCAGACAGATACCTCATCATCCCCTCTGAAAAAAAGGAGAGATTAAATTCACTTGGTTTGTTTATGATCAGCTTCCCATAGAAGCCCACCCTTGAAGCTGGCTCAGGTCATTTACTGTAAGAGTAAAATCAGATTGATTACTTCTTTAGCTTTTCATTTCTTCACTTTAAAATACTGGGAGATCGATGCAAGAAGTGTTGGGAAAGCTTAAGCGGTTTTTATAAAATAGATTTGGGGGATGGGGCTAAATAATGAGATTAAGTGGGTAAAAGAAAGAGAGGAGATTTGGAGATAAATTGAGGGACAGGAAAGTTTTCTGTAACTTGATAAGATTCCATTTTCACAGACTTGAAGAACCTGTTTGTTTCTTGATCCAGGACCATGATATAACCCTTCAACCCAAACAATACATAACAAGTCTTGAGGAATTTAGAGAAAATTTAATGTTCTGCTTGTTTTACAAGCATGCTGAAAAGCAATTGCCCCTTCCTGCTTCACACAAACTGCCATTCTCAGAAGTCTACTGTCTTTGAAGATGAAGTTCTGTAGAGTTGCATTAGACTGATAGACTATTTCTTCTTCTTCTAGAGAAATTTAACCTATGTGTCTACTGTATAATATGTATGTATGTATGCCTGTGTCTATACACTCAGATTATATACTAACAGCAATAGCACTTAGACTTACATATTGCTTCACAGTGCTTTCCAGCCCTCTCTAAACAGTTTACAGAGTCAACCTCTTGCCCCCAACAATCTGGGTCCTCATTTTATCAACATTGGAAGGATGGAAGACTGAATCAACCTTGAACCCAGGATCGAACTCCTGGCAGTGAGCAGAGTCACCCTGCAATGCTGCATTCAGACCATTGTGCCACCATGGAAGGAAGGAAGGAAGGAAGGAAGGAAGGAAGGAAGGAAGGAAGGAAGGAAGGAAGGAAGGAAGGAAGGAAGGAGGGACATAAGGAAGGAAGGAAGGAAGGAATAGCAATAGCACTAAGACTTATATACCACTTCACAGTGCTTGACATCCCTCTCTAAGCAGTTTACAGCCAGCATATTGCCCCTGATCACCTAGGTGTCCTCATTTTACTGACCCCCGAAGGATAGAAGAGTGAGTCAACCTTGAAGGTGGTCAGGATCAAACTCCAGGCTGTGGGCAGAGTTTGCCTGCAATACTGCCTTCTAACCACTGCGCCATCACAGCTCCTATGAAAGCTGTCATATCTAATCAGAGTGTCAAGAAATACCTATATCTATTTTGTCCTAGTGGGCAATATGATGGCCTTCTCTGCTGGATTGTTTGTCTGATGTGAATCCCTGCTCTAATGACACCAGCACTGGCAGGGGAAATCACTCCCTATGAACAGACTTCACACCGATGTTCCTAGTTGGGCAATGAAACATCTGCAAGCAAACGACCAAGTTCAGAAAGCGCCAGAGACCCCCCTGAGTCCAACTTCCATAATAACACATTTGGTTAGTGGTGTTGAAGGCCTGCCATTCATCTGTTTAACTGTACTAGTTTTTGCCTCAGTACAAAATTCATTAATGGACTAGGATGTTCTCATTTTTAAAAGGCAGGAAAGCAAAACGTAAAAAGACAACAAAAAGACAACAAAAACCCTGTGAAGATAATCCTCCATATGGATAAAATGTGAAAGCTGTAATTCAATTATGGAATGTAAACCCGAAAACAAGTTGCTTGTTCAAAGTAAATTGAATGTGAAATGATAGCTGTCTGATACAGCTGAACTCAAAACATTTCCTCCTCTCTGGCATGTGGAAATGGTATGTGGCAGGATTGGTGCATTAAGGCTCCCTTTAGGATGGGAAGGTTCTGGCTTTTGGTGAAGAAATTGTGGACTACTTAATTGTCCTTGTTGCATTTGTCATTTTTTATAAAATTACTATTTTTTTTTAAGTGACCATTTTAATCTCATGGCTCTCCTTTCTACCAGATAAGAGATTTTCAAAGTTTTCATGCCAGTGGGGACATTTAGAATTTTTCTTGGATATGTTAAAAGAATTCTGGGAGTTGAAGTCCACCAGGCTTAAAGCCACCAAGCTTGGAGACCCCTGATCTAAACCAATCTAAACCGTATAAGCTGGTTTACTACATATTCATAAGTTTATTCAATAGATTCAGATGTGTGACATGCTTTTTATTTGGTGGCCTCCAAACTGAATAATAATATCTGAGCAATATTTCTTTTTAAGATTTTTTTTTTCAAATAATCAATTGTACAATTTATTATTAAAGCAACATTCAAAACAATAGTTCAGTTTTTAGTGTTTTAAAACGTATTCATGAAACTCGGGTGCTACATTACCAACTCATTCTTATTCACAGTTTATATGTCAACGAGACATTTAAAACTATATCTCCCCGGTCTTACAATGCATAGCAGTTCTCTGTCATTAACCAACTACAAAACCTCCATATTCATGACTTGAGGATCAATCATGAAGATAAAAACATCTTCTTATTGATTTCCCTCCCCGCCCCCTTTTCATTGACATAATTAAATTAAATGGCAGAGGAGCTGTGAAAAAGCAGAGAGCATCAAAGGTGGAAAGTGAATTTTCCTCTGTACCTGCTTGGATCTCGCAGCCTCTCTTAGCAGCATGAAACGATTTAATATAGAAGGAATGCAATGAGGGAGATTAATAAGAACCGAAACATATTAGCTTAATAATAAGGCTAAAGCTTCTGACTTTGTACAACCACCACATATATTAAATAAGAAAAAAATAGAAGTATTTTCCTTTCTACGGCAGAAAATATTAGCCTTGGGGGGGCATAGATTAGAAAAGGGCAGGGGCTTTTCAGTTCCATGCTCATGGCTCCCTTTTTTTTTTACACACAAAGAGGAAGAAGCCATTGAGACTGGCTGACTGATCTGAGCCACCTCTTCAGTTGGGGGTGAATGAAGGGAATGACCCAACCACTCACAACTGCAGCCGGAAGCAACCAGGCTGCCTTCTTGTTCATCAAAAATGGTTACTCACTGCAGCCTCAGCTCCTTCTCTTCCATGTTGCTCCTGGATTAACCCAACTTTGAAATTCTAGCCTGGATCCCAATGGATCAGCCGTGGCTGTGGTCACCTGGCTGGGTCATTCCTGAGCTGCTTCTTCCTTCCACGCATGCAGAAAAGGCAAGACTCCCGGGTTGGTTCCAGGGTGGACTGGTTTATCAGTGCTCCCTGGTACTGACAGAGATCGTTCCTTTCTTACTGTGACTTTCCTTTGCTTTCCCTGATATTTGCACCCATGGGTGCCTCCAGCACTACCACCCCTTCCACATTCTCTCCTTTGACACCAACACAGAAATGGCAACACAACCCTTTCAGCAGTTCCCAGAAGGCTCCTCATCCATTTGCACTATTCAAGGGACTGGGAGGGCACAGATACACCTCCAAGTGGCCTCAATGGCTCCCAGAAAGAGCGCTAACGACCAGATGACTGCAAGGAGTGTAAATCTCCCCACCTTCCACCATTCAGTCAGAACTGAAGAAGCTTCTTGGTTGAGAAGCAAAACGTCTTCAAGGAAAAGCAAGGAAAGTCTCTTGAAAAAAGCACCTATGGGACAACCATGAGCTACGAATCTCCATAGACCTCTAACAAATAAGCTTTTCCTTTTTACTCATGACATCTTTGTTGTGCAATCAAAGCTACAGGGAGCAGGTTGTTCCTGCAATAGTCCATTCCTCTGTAAGATCAACAGGAGCAAAGAAGGAAGGGGATTTTGTCAGTGGCAGAGAAACAAAACCAGCCACACCCCTAACTTGCAACTGAAAGGCATTAGGGCAAAGAAAGGAAGCTCTGTAGAACTTGGGCAGGAGGTGAGGAGACAAGAGAAACAGGCTTCCTGCCACCTGAGGAAAACAAAATGCTGCCCACTGGCTGAAGGCTGAACGATCGAAGCTGGGCTCACTGTTGGAAAGAACCAAAGCCCTGGAGAACATCCTCACTCATACCTTAAGACACCTGAGTTGCAAAACAGCAGCTCTGAACTGAAGCGGGAGAAGATGGATGAAAGGTGTGTTTGCAATTGGCTGGAGTGAGTAGAACAGGATGGCTTCCATTCCTCCACTCAAGAAGTCATGAACGGACGGTGCTGAGGCCAAGAAACTCTGCGTTGCTCCTAAGGTACTGTTTTGCTCGCGCTCTCTCTGCCATCTTTATTCCTCCCTCTCTCCTGTTAACCTGAAAAGAGGGAAGAAATAAATTCCCGGCAGAGCGATCAAGGTTTGCACCAGCAGTTGAGAGTGTTAGATTGGAGAACTGGATTGTCCTTTCTTGCATCCTCCAGGTGACCACGTGGGACAGGTGAGGCTTGAGAATGAGTTCATCATGGATTAGTCTGGCAGGTTAGAGAGTTTGCTCTCTTCCCTGGGATTGGTTTATGCAGGTTAAATAAACAAAGGCACTACCGTTTTTCTTGCAAGAAAAGATCAAATAGAACATAGGACAACAGAGTTGGAAGGGACCTTGGAGGTCATCTAGTCCAGCCCCCTGATCGAGCAGGAGAGTCTATTCCAAATATTAGCCTCTACCAAGGATTGAACTCACAGCCTCCTGATTGTGAGGCAAGAGCTCCAATGTTCACAGGTGCCCAGACTCTTAAGTTTGAGGAGGGAAAATAAGGTTTTGCTTTAACCTAGGCAAGTTTTTAATAGCTCTGCATTTTATTCTAGTTTGGATAGTTATTGGAAATAAAATAAAACAAAACAAAATAATAATAATAATTGGTTTGATCTAAGTATAGTACATAAAATTATATATTGCAATGTCCTACCTGTCAATGAATACTTCAGCTTCAACCAAAACAATACAAGAGCACACAATAGATACAAACTGAAGATAAACCGCACGAAACGTGATTGCAGGGAATATGACTTCAGCAACAGAGTGGTCAATGTCTGGAATACTCTACCTGACTCTGTAGTTTCTTCCCCAAACCCCCAAAATTTTAACCTTAGACTGTCTACTATTGACCTCACCCCTTTCCTAAGAGGTCTGTAGGGGGCGTGCATAAGTGCATAAACGTGCCTACCGTCCCTGTCCTATTGTTTCCTTTTTTCTTATTGGTATCCATTTCATGTATTTATAACCATGTTTATACTTATACCTGTTATCTAATAATCGTTTGACAAAATTAATAAATAAAATAAAATAAAATCAAAATAAAAGCTAGCAGGGCAGTCAAGCCCCCCTGTTCCCTTAACAGTTTTAGGGATTTCTTTCTAACCACGCAAGGTAAATATTAAATTCAGCTTTCCAAAACATGCAAGTCATCTTTTCTCTACCCACGCTACATTTTAACCCATCAAATATTTGCTGAAACTTGAATGGCCCTATGGATCCCCTATAGTAAATCCCATTGACGGCAAAGACAAGACAACTCTTTCCAGACTGAGGGTTCCCGTGCAACTATTCCTAGCAATATTTTAAAAACATGGATCGGTTCCATCTTTCCCTTGCTAAGAGGTTTCCTGTGGTTAAGGCTACAATACAGCAGAAGTTGGAAGGAAACTTCTGAAAAAAGACGCCCTTGTTCAGCCTCTGTCTTTCCCCCTCCGTACGTTTCCACAAAGGGGAGAAAGCGATTGTGCCATAAGGCTTAATTTACAAATTGGAGGCCTAGAAACAAAGTGGGCTTAAGGCCTCGGGGTTTGTGCAGGAAGAAGTAGAGGCAGCTTCCGCCCTTGTGCCTTGGAAATATGGACAGTCAAGCCTCCAGTTGAATTGAATTCAATGCTCTTCAATCCACGTTCAAATCCCGCCTCGGCCACAAAAGCCGGCTGGGTGACTTTGGGCCAGCCATACACACACTCTCCCTCTCCCTCTCCCTCTCCCTCCCTCCCTCCCTCCCTCCCTCTCTCTCTCTCTCTCTCTCCAACCCACCTCGCAGGGTTGTTGCTGTGGGGGAAATAGGAGGAAGAAGATGTGTTGGGTACATTTGCTGCCTTGAGTTATTTGTAAAAGTAATAAAGGCAGAATACAAATCAGTAAATCTTCCATGTGTATAAGCAGTTCTTGGCAGTTCACTTAGTGACTGGTTGAAGCTACAATGGCACTACAAAAAGGGGACTTATGGCCATTTTTCACACATAGGACCAGGGGTGGGCTTCATTTTTTTTAGCCCTAATGACTGGCTGGGTGGTCATGTGACTGGGTGGGTGTGGCCAACTTGACGTCGCTTCTTTGCCCTAATTACCTAAAAAAAGATAATACACCAAAAAGTTGTTTATTATTTCATGCATTTAATACTTAAAGAAAAGACTGGGTGAAACCAGGCTTAATAGCAGTGACTGTGAGAAGGATTTTGGAGTCTTAGTGGAGTTTCTGGTGAGTTATGGGATTCTTATTATTTGGGAATTAATCCCCTCAGCGGTTAGTGGCAATGTTACCTGATTTTCTCCATGGCTCTTCCTCACAAGCACCAAGAGTATTGTTTATCTAGTTTGCCACACTGTTACCAGGTGTGAAATGCTCTTGGCTGAAAGCCCAGAAGTTCAATTAAGCCTACTAAGAGTTTTCCCTGGCTGCTTGTCTTTCTGGGGTTATTGGGGTCTCAGAGAGCCCCGCAGAGTCTTAGCTAGGGGCTCTCCTGAGCCCCTGCCAGCCCCCAGCAGCCCCCCTGCATAGGACTGTTGCAGCATCCCCGTGGTCATGTGATTCACATTCAGACGCTTGACAACTGACTCGTATTTATGACCTTTGCAGCATCCCAAGGTCACGCTAAGATCCCCTATTGCAGCTTTCTGTCAAGCAAGGTCAATGGGAAAGCCAGATTCCTTAACAATGGTGTTACCAATTTAACAACCGCAGGGATTTACCTAACAAATGTGGCAAGAAAAATCGTAAAGTGGGGTGAAACACCATTCCTAAATCTCTCACTTGGCTCAATGGAAGACCTCCAGTGGGGGGGCCATCTGAGCCGATCAATTAGGCTGCAAAATCACCTTCCTCATGGGAAAACAAGGGGGCCACAGGGCTGGCCCGACAAAAGGTTAACTTAACCCCCAAAAGTCCCATGTGGATGCAAGTCTAATGGTTGCCCACCCTGAAAGACCCAGGGAAGAAGAAAGGGAGGAAAAAGGCCATTCAGAAAGCATGGCTTGTTCTGCCTGCCTGTCAGAATTCTATCAATGGCATGGTGTGTGTGTGTGTGTGTGTGTGGTTTGTGGCAACAGGTCCATCTTCTTAACAAACAAGCATTTTCGGAGATTCCTGAAACCAAGCCTCAACTATCGCTCTTAGACCAATTATCCTTTCATTGTGCAAGATCTGGATCACGCCTGCAACATGGCTCCCAATCCCCTTCGATCACCCCCAAAAACGCCATTTGACACTTTCCCCCAGAAAAGTTGCCTCACTTCACAGTCATCTCAGCAGGCCGAAACGAAGGGCTGTATGAAAAGAAAGACTGACTTGATGCCAACGTGGATTAGAGAAGAGGGGTAAAAGTGGGTGTGGCGGAAATTCATCCAAAGCATTTTGGACACATTGTATGTGGCCCACAGTGTGAGTCAGAAAGAGAAGCAAGAAAGCAGGGTGGGGTTAACCATAAGACATCTCCCAATTACATGCTGCATGCCGTTCCTGGTAAGTTCAGGCTGAGTCTTGTGCTTTTGGGTTATCTCGGTTTGCTTATCTAGCCCTTTTGATGGGAGGAAAGATGTTCATGAAGGTATTTCAGAAAGATGGCATGATGTCACCTGAATTTCCCAGCTGGAGATTGTCCAGTTAATGTTGAACTGTGTTCACCAGTAATTTAATATAAACGCCTCAGCTGATAGTGAGGACCAACCTGGAAATGTCCTAAAATCATAAAAGGTGAAGGAGACAGATGCCAAAGAGATGATGCTGCATTGATACATTCTCTGTTCTCTGTAAGTATTAAAACCAGAGGTGGAATTCAGACGGTTCGGACCGGTTGTGGAGAACCGGTAGCAGAAATTTTGAGTCATTCGGACAACCGGCCAATCCCACCTCTGACTGGCCCTGCCAACCCCATCCATTCTCTGCCTCCCATTGAGTCCCAGCTGATTGGCTGGGTCTGCTTTTGTTGCCCTGCACAGGAGAATGGAGCTGGAAAGCAGGTTAGTGGGGTGGGGAGGGAATGGGGATTTTGCAGTATCCTTCCCCTGCCATGCCCACCAAGCCACACCCACATAATCAGTAGTAAAAAAAAAAATGAATCCCACCACTGATTAAAACATCTTCTGAGCCTGTTTCATCATGAGTGACCATGTCCAGATGAAGAATTTAGCCATGACTATATATCCAAAAGAACAAGGATGCCTTCAGTTGGAAAAGAGGCAGAAAAAAAAGTCACTATAGATGTTTAACCCACAGAATGTTACTAACCTCATTTAAAAAAAAAAAAAATGACTTGAAGAGGAAAGCCAAAAAGGCCAAACAGATGGAAATGCATTCTGTAACATAAAACAGCATTGTGTTCATAATGGGCCTTCTGCAGCCAAGGAGCCACACTGGATGCCTCTCTGTAAAATACATTTCCAATATCACCAGTGTGCAATGACCACAGTTATTTTCTAGTTGGCTGCAAGGCCGAGTAATATAATAACCACA